AAAAATCTTTGTGTGTGTGTATATGAAGCGGAAAATACTCCATTATCTCGATTAAGAATTTCCTGTCATAATTTTGACAGAATTTTTATTATAATTATTTTAATTTTTGTTATAGTTCTTCTTGCTTTATTATCATTTTTATTGCTATTATTATTTTTATTTTATATTATTGTTATAATCACTATTACTATTAATATTATGATTACTATTACTATTACGATTCTATTACGATTCTATTACGATTACTATTACTATTATTACCTATATTATTTTTACTATTTTTATTTTTATTATTATTATACTATTATTATTAATATAGGTATTATTATTCCGAATTTTATTTTCATTATTTTCATTCTGATTTTTATTATTATTAATTATCAATGAAAAGTGCAGAAACAAATATTTAAATGTTGCAGTGAGTTATTATTAAAATCGCTATTTTCTTAGACGAAAGGTTATTTGAAAACAAAATACTCTTGAAACAAAGGAAGTAGTTTCCAATTGAGACAGTTGTCAAATAAATTAAAAACATTCAAGAGTCCTAAACCTTATTGTAAAATCGTTTTGTCAGTCCAATAACTTTTATTTTCAATCTTTTTTTGTTAATTTTAGTGTCAGGATAGACACTAGTTTTATCAACGTTTCAAAATTTTGTACATTTAAAAAAAAATAAAAATTTTGTTTTAGTAAAAACAAAATTAAAAACAAAGTTAAGAAACTTTAAAGTTTCTTGATAATAGTTTATTTTTTAAAAAATAATTTATTTTTTGCGTATGGAAAAAAAAATTTGCGTGAAGATAAGGAAAGAAAAAAATAGTATCGAATAGATTTTTCAAATACAATTTCACATGTGTCTTCTCTCTTCATATTTTTTTGAAGTTTTGTTTTATGCTATTTACTGAATCTAAGATGATGCTTCTTGGATGATCTTTAAAGCTCCCTGCGATGAAAAGTTTCTTTTATATATAGCTTTTGTCTGTGAACCAGTGTTTCATACCATCTTTGAGAAGTAAAATGCAGAATATTTACTTCGGGTTTTGATCCTGTTTATATCTATATCTATATATGTATATGGAAAATAGTGTTTTGCGGGACGAGATGTAAGCCAGTGCGAGAGCGAGTGTGAGAAGCTTAAAGAGACTATCATGAATTCTTCATAAAATCCCCTCTTTATAATTTATTTCACGATTCTTTTACTAATTTACAATCCATAAAATTTCAGATATAACATTTTTATTTTTCGGTAAAAAATATTCTATATACAGAAGCATTTTTTACTTATTTTTATTTCTGTTTTATTTTTGTTATTTATTTTTATTTTTTTTGGATTTTATATATTTTTTTTATTTTATTTTATAAAATTATTCTGTATTTACTTCTATTTTATTGTTTCGTTGGTTTTTGTTTCGAAAGTTTTTTTTTATTATTTTATTGTATAAAATATTATTTTATTGACTCTCTGAAGAATTAGTCAAAATGTTTATTATTTTGAACTGGTTACTGAATTTTTGCTTTCGAATTCATAAATTTTACAGGGTAAATTTCATTTTGTTCTTCCCTGATTTCCAGGCAAAATTTTGACTTTTTCCCTGACCCTACAGAATATTTTGATACACTCTTAAAATTATTAGATACTTAAAAAAATGTTCTATTACATTTATTTACAAATTTCTTCGAAAGTAAAATTATTCGAAAGACGAAAACATCTATAACTTATTTTTTAAATAAATATTTGATCATTATTATTTTTCTATAGGAATTAATATTCTCAAATTCAAACCTTCTGAAATTTAATAACGTATGACAATTGTGTTCAAATTTTTTAAAATAATTATTTCTCAGAATTTTTTAAAACTTTTTGAAAATAATTAAATTTTATCGAGAAATTTCGTTAAAAAATTTAAAATAATTAAAATCTAACAAAGAATTTTATTAAATTTTTTTTAAATAATTGAATTCTTGAGAAGAATGTTATTAAAATTTCTTAAATAATTGAATTGCTTCGAAAATTTTTATTTCTTATGAAAATAATTGAATTGTTTCAAATAATTTTGACAATAATTGTATTCCTAGGAAGAGTGTTATATATTTTAAGAAAATAATTGTATTCTACGATCAATTTTATTCTAATTTTTCAAATTTATAAAGCATTTAAACAAAATTTTTTTAAATAATTAAATTCTCGAGAAAAATTTTATTATTTATGAAAATAATTGAATTCTTAAGAAGAATTGTATTTAAAATAATTGAATTGTATAGGAAAATTTTATTAACTAAATCTTGTAAAGAATTTTGTCAAAATTTTTTTAAATAATAGAATTTTTAAAACAATTTAATTTAAATTTTTCGAAATAATTGAATTAGTGCGAAGAAATTTATAAAAAATTGGTAAGTAATTGAATTCCTGTGAAATTTTTATTAAAATTTGCTTTAAATAATTGAATTCTTTTGGAAAATTTTATTTAAATAGTAGATATTAAAAATAATTGAAATGAGGAAAATTTTTGATAATAATTGAAATTTTGACAAGAATTTTATTAAATTTTTTGAAAATAATTAAATTTCGGAGAAGAATTTTATTATTTATAAAGATAATTGAAATTTTGACGAGAAGTTTTAAAAATTTTTTAACATAATTAAATTTAAAGGAAGAAGTTTATCACTTTTGAAAATAATTGAATTTCTGTAATGAGTTGTTCTTAAAATTCCTATTTAAAATCTTAAATTCATTAAAAATTGATATTTTTTAAAATTTCAAATTGAAATCTTTGAAGTTCATCTATTTATGAAGATTGTAAACGCAACACTTTTAAAATCCAATTAATTTTGAAATTTTTAAGTAAAATAAATTATTCATTAAATAATTTATATTATAAGTAATAATTTTATGATAGTTCTTCAAGAATTAAGTTATTTAAAAAGAAATTATTGTCAGAAATAGAAAAAATTGAAGGTTTTGTATTAGAAATCTTGGCAATATCATAGTTTATGAGACAAACAAAAAAGACAATAAAATTGAGAATTTTCTTATAAATTCAAAAAATTTAATATTTTCCAGTACTTTTAATAAAAATCCCTGACTTTTCTTTGTCTTCCCTGACTTCCCTGACCTGTGGCAACCCTGTTTTACTAATAAATTAGTGGAAATTACTCTCTAAATTTGAATCAGCGAAAAGTCGCTGATTCACCAGCCCAGAGTATGCAGCTGATGAAACAGCGTATATACGCTGGAAAATCAGTGCATATACGCTGTTTTATCAGTGTATATACGCTATTTCATCAGCTGCATACTCTGGGCTGGTGAATCAGCGACTTTTCGCTGATTCAAATTTAGAGAGTACTGTCAAAATTTAAATTAATAAAAATATTTATTAATTTGAATTACTGACTGAATTTTTGCTTTTGAATTAGTCAATTTTACTAATAAATTAGGGAAATTATTATTTATTATTAGTAAAATTTACTAATAATTTAGTGGAAATTAATATTTGTTAGAAAAATTTACTAATTAAAAAGCAAAAAGTTAGTCATATTGTTTAATTAGTAGAAATTACTATATTAGTATATTTATTGGTAAAATTTACTAATTAAAAAGCAAAAAGTCAGTCACTAATTGAAATTAGTAAATATTTTTTACTAAATTCAAATTTTTGAGAGGGGATTAGTTTGAAAATTATTATTTTTTTAAATATAAAAGAGGAAGTGAGAGGAATGTTATCCTTATCTAATATGAAAAGTTTGAGTGGGTAAACTGGGATGATGATCATTTCCCTGTTCATTTCTCTATCGTCTCACTCAAACGCGCGAGATTTCAAACTTAAATTAAACAGTCTTTTTAATTGTATTATTTATTAAAGTAACCGGAATTTCTACTTCTGAAACTCTCACTCTTCCCGTGTTTCCAGTAATTAGCTGTTACAGAAACAACTTTACTAATTCTAATCGTAAATATAGTTTTGCAATCTGACACTTAAGCCGAGATGATTATCTTTTAATAAAATTACCATAAAATTAGTCACAAAAAAATTTCTTTAATTATTCTTTTGTTTATATACACTGAGAAAAAAAATTTATTTTTGTCAATTAAATCGTACAATTTTTTTAAATACTGAAAAAATTTAATAAAATTACTATTAAAATTATTTAATTCAAGTAAAAATTTATTTGATAATAATAGACAAGTAATCGATTATTTGAATCAATTAAATTTTTTTTTCAGCATAGACAATTCTTGAATTGAATTAAATTTCGTAAAAATTGCCCTAAAATTTCGGAAGATTTTTTTAGTTTTTTTGAATTTATAACTTTTAATTTGATTTAAAATTTAAATATAATTTGAAAGAATTTAAATTTAAAAAGATCCAATTTACATTTTATTAAATTTAAATGTAATTTAAATTATTATTAAAATTCGGAAACAAAATATTTGCATATAGAAAGCAGAAGGAAGAATGGTTTGTTGAGTAAACCAATGAAATTCTAATTACCCAAGGTTTATGAATGGAAACAATATTAACGCAGAGTTAGGCTATAAAGTTACATTTGTTATTGTGCATTCGCCTTTTTATATTATTTTACTCGAAAAAAAGTAGCAGTATATTTTTTTACTGCACTATATTATTTTTAATGATGCTGTGATACTGACAAATATTTTCTTTATTTTTTTACCATGTTTGTAAATAAAAAATAAATTCATTTTCTTTTAGATTATTTTATACCTATTAACATTTTATTTATTTACAATTTAAAATAAATAAAATTTTTATATTTTATATATTACTCTCTAAATTTGAATGAGTTAATTTCACTAATAAATTAGTAGAAATTACTATTTATCACATAGTATAATTTATTAATTCAGAAGAAAAAAATTAGTCACTAATTCATATTTAGAGAGTATTATTTAATTATTATTATTATTATTTACTTGTATTATTTGAAATTTTATAAATAAATTTTACATTCAGAATTTTCAAAAGCATATTATTTATTTTCAGGTAACAAAGGGTGAAGAGAAAAATTTTTTTTTGCTGGAAGAGGAGGCTTGTAAATTACGAATATTCTATACGAAAGAGAAGACTGATGCATAGACAAGAATTCTTTATTATTCGAATTTTTTTTTGAAAATTCCAAATACTTGAATTAGCCAAAAAAAAAAGAAGAAAAAACATAAGAATCTCAGAACTTGTTTTTCAATTTTTTTCTCTTTGCACAATATAAATCATGACTTTGATTATAACTAAATGAGTTATAGAAAAAACTTTCTCTGAAAATCATCTCATCTCCGAAGACTGATTACTTAAAGTTAATTCCATGAGGATTTTTCAACTCTTAGGAAACATAGAATAGTTATTTTTTTACCCCATGACAAATTTTTTCGACAAAAAAAGAAAAAGAGTAGTAAATCTCTAAAATTAAAAAAATTGGAAATATTTTGAATATTTAAGCAAGAGGGAAAATTATTTAAAGGGGAAAAATGCAAGTGGAGCAGAAATTCAGAGGATTATAATGAGAATAATGATTGAATGTATGAGAAGAGAAAGGGACAAAAGTGTAAGAAATTGGACGAATTGAAACTAGGACAACAACAATAACAAGAATATAATAAAAAACAAAAGTTGGAAAAAAAGGAGAATAATAATAACAATGACAAGAAAATAGAAAAATAACGAAAGTAATAACAATAATAACAATAACAAGAATATAAAAAAATAACGGAAGTAATAACAATAAGGAAAATTGTAGACTAAGGACAAGAATGATGAAGTCCGAGGAGAAGAAGCGCGAAATGTTTTCGCGAAGAGCGTGTAGTGAAAGTGGACCACATCCTGCGATTTCAGTGACTGGTGGACATCTTTGGGGTAAACGGAATCAAGGCAGAACGTCAGCGCCAGTTGTTGGAAACGCAAAACCTCCTGTAATTTATCTGAGGACACGGAGAAGTTGGCCTGTTGCACCCACACATTGCAGAAGGTGAGTTTTTATTTTTCCCTTTTGTTTTTAATTTATTTCAAATTTTCAAATTTTTGCATAATTTTAAAATGTTAACTACTCCCGAATTTACCATCCCACGTCGAAAAATTCCATGGAAGTTCTCCCTTGAAATTTCCGTGGATTTTCCATGGAGATTTTGCAAGTTTTTTATTTTAAAAATATTTTAACATTTCCAGGGTTGTCATAGGCCAGGGAAATCAGGGAAATGTTAGGAATTTTAACTAAAGTAATGAAAAAAATTGAATTTTAAAGAAGTTACAAATGATTACAGAAATTCAATTTATTTTGAAAATTAATAAGATTCTTCGCAGATATTAAATTATTTTCAAAAATTTTAATAAAATTCTTGGACAAAATTTTAATTATTTTCAAAAATTTTCCTCCATTCAATCATTTTCAACATAATAATAAATATAATAATAATAAAAATAATAATAATAATAATAATATAATAATAAAATGTTTCAAAAGATTTCAATTATTTAAAAAAAAGTGTATTTTCGGTGTTAAAATAACACTGACGAGTTAAAATTTGTTGCAGACACTTTTAACACTGATTTCAGTGTTAAAACAACACCCAGTTTTCTCTGTGAAAATTTAAAGCAAGCATTAAATTATTTTCATAAATAATAAATTTTTTTACCGAGATTCAATTAGTTTCATGAATAATAAAATTCATCATTGAATTTAAATTATTTGTAAGTACAATATTAATCGAATTCCCGGAAAATGTAATTATTTTTCAAAATTGTATTAAAATTCGTCAAAAAAATACTATTATTTAAGTTGATGAAACTCTTTATGAGGATTCAATTTTGAAAAACACTAATTTATTCAATAAATTATTTATTTTATTTGTATTTAAATAATTGAATTCTCGTAGAATTTTCTAATAAAAATTGATTTCGAAAATAATTACAGTTACAATTTTACACAATAATTGAATATTAAAAGTATTATAACATGAATTTTAAAAAATAATTGATTTTTGAATATTTTTGAAAATAATTATATTTTTCGATGAATTTACTTAAAATTGGATTAAAATTAATTGAAATCTTGTGAAGAATTTAATTATTTATAGGGAAATAATAGAATTGTTGTAAAAAATTTGTATTACATTTTTTTAAAATAATTGAAGTCCTGTGAAGAATTTTATTATTTATGAAAATAGTGGAATTCTTGCAACGAATTTTTATTAAATTTTTTTTAAATAATTGAAATTCTGTAAAGAATTGTATTATTTATGAAAATAATTAAATTCTTGCAACGTGTTTTATTAAATTTTTTTAAAAATTGAATTCATTTAAGAAATGTTATTAAAATAGTAGATTTTAAAAATATTTGAATTTCAGCGAAAAATTCCATTATTTGTAAAATGTAATTGAATTCTTGCAAAAAATTTTAGAAAGTAATTACATTTTTTGAAAAATTTATTTAAAATTGTATTAAAAATAATTGAAATCCTATGAAGAATTTTATTATTTATGAAAATAATTGAATTCTTAGAACGAATTTTATTACTTTTTTTTAAATAATTGAATTCATGTGAAAAATTTTATTACTTGTAAAAATTATTAATTTTTCTTCTTGGGAAGGATTTTATTAAAATTTGTGTAAATAATTTAATTTTTTTTTTTTTTGAAAAATTTTGTGGAAATTTTAATTTATTTATGAAACATAAAGATATCGATCACTCCGAGTCTTCGACTCGGAGCAATCGATTTCTTCATCTTTTATAACAATTTTTTATAAGTTGTTTAATTTAAAAAAGGTTTGAATTTGAAATTTTTGAAAATCTTAATTCTTATGGAAAAATGATAGGTAATGACTAAATTTTATTTAGAAAAGGTAAATATAACAAAGCGAAATACAGTATTATATACAAGTTCCATGTATTTGTAAAAAATTATTGGAATTATTTAATTTTGTAAAATATAAATGTAGTTTCAAAAACCTTGGAAAAATTTCGTTTTTTAACCTGGAAAGGTTAGGAAATTTGAAAAGAGCAAAAGCGTGGCAACCCTGTAAATAAATAAATTAGTCTTTTCTACTTTCAAATTCAGTAGTACGAGTCAATAATTAGTCAGCTATTATATATTAAAAATTGTAGTGTTTAAATTTTAAGTAATAAAGTTTACTTATAGTCAGACAAATTTGTATTAATTCTTGTAATTTTATGTATTCTAACATTCAGTAGTACGACTTAATAATTAGTCAGTCAAAATATTTAAAATTGTTGTGTTAAAGTTCTAAGTAGTATAAAGGTTATTTGTAACGTCAGACAAATTTGATTTACTTTAAAATTTTTGAATTCGAGTAGTAAAACATATTTTTAGTCAGAAAAAAGTAGTACAAAAATAGTGAAAAATATTACATATTCTCTAAATCTGAATTAGTAATTTACTACTAATTGCTAGTAGAAAACTACTAATTCATGTAATAATATTAATTTGTTCATATTAAGCTATCAGTAGTAAAGTTAAGTTTTGGTCAGACAAATTTGTATAGGATAAATTTTTGTATTCCGAGTATTAAGAGGAATTATTAGTCAGACAGAACACTACTACAAATTAAGTAGTAGAGATTATTATTAGTCAGATAGAAGTAGAAAAAAATACTTTTAAATTCAGTAGTACGAGTCAATATTTAGTCAGACATAGATTTAAAAAAATCTACTACTGATTTTATTGTTTAGTTTTAATTTTAGTTTTATTCAATTTATTTTTAAGTTAATTTTTATTCAGTAGTATGAGTCAATATTTAGTTAGACATAAATTTAAGAAAATCTACTACTGATTTTATTGTTTAGTTTTAATTTTATTTTTATTCAATTTATTTTTATTTAATTTTATTTTTATTCAGTAGTATGAGTCAATATTAAGTTAGACATAGATTTTAAAAAATCTACTACTATTTTTATTGTTTAGTTTTAATTTTATTTTTATTCAATTGATTAAAAAATTAAGTTAAAACTAAAAAAAGGAAATCAGTAGTTTTATTCAATTGAATAAAAATTAAATTAAAACTAAACAATGAAATCAGTAGTATAGATTAATTCCAGTCAGACAAATTTGTTTAAATTCGTTTTGAAGTTTGAACTCGAGTATATAAGTAGTCAAAGACAGTTGTAATCAGGCAGAAGTAATGTAAAAGTTCTCAAGTTAACACCTCCCTTTCAAGAGAGACCCAATTGATAAAATTCGTTCTACTTTTCGATTTGCAGTAGTAGAGATCGTTTTTAATCAGACGGCAACTTTAGAATCACTTTTATAGTCCGTTTATCAGTAGTAAAGGTCAATTTCAGTGCGGCATACTTTTTCCAATTGTTTACAAAGCACTAAAAAGTGAAAATAATTACCAATTTACTTTTAGAAATTGAAAAAATTCTCTCGTTTATTATCGTAGAGTAAAAAATAGTATAAAAAAAAGTAAAAAATAGAAAAATAGTAAAAAAAATAGTTTTAAAAAAGTAATAATAAAGTAAAAAAAATTGTTCATTCAAAGAACGGATTTTTAAAACTATTTTTTATTCAGACTTTTAAATTTACTATCACGTCATTCATATTCATTTTCCTGTCATTTACAAAGAAGAGAGAAAGAGAAAGGGACTTTAAGGAAAATTTAAGTCAGACTAAGCGCGGAATAAATTCCCATGTAAATTTATCAGTTGTTGATCAGTACTAAAAGTAAATTTATCTTATCAGTAGTAAAAGTCCGTTTTCGGTCAGACAGTGACATTTATTCAAAGTTTTTAATATAATGATAACGTTACAGAATGAAGTTTTCTTTCTTTTTTCCTCTTATTAATTCTCCGTGAAAAATATTGCGTGTCTCCTGTTTATTTTCAATTTTTAAAAGCATTTTTACTAATTTTGATTTATTTCATAGTTTTTTTTTCATGTAAAATTAAAAGTTGTTATTTTCTTTTAGTAATTAAAGTTATTTATCTTTATTAAGATCTAGGCAATGCGTTTTGTCGCGTTACACTCTTGGTATTTCTTATATATGCACCTTCGTGACTATGTGATTGCATGAGAGCCAACAGTTTATCGTTAAAAACGAGAAGAGATTTTTTTTTCGTTCTTTCGTGAAATTTATGCATACAAAAGGAAAGAAAGAATTGTTGACGTTTCCATCGATGTGAAAAAATTTATTTTCCTTTTTTGAGATAGAAAATAAATTTTATTAAAATATTGAACAACACGAAAGCAATTAGAAGTGGATATTGTAATTTTACAATTTCAATTATTGATGTTTTTTTCATTTAAATAAAGACATTTTTCAAATAAAGAATTTTTTTTACATGCTCATTATAATATTATTACAAAAAAGAATGTTTCTGAAGTTCTGAACGATCAAATGAACGACGTTAAAAATATTAATGAAATTATTTTTTATATTAAAGAAATATTAATTCCTAACTAAGTAAATGTTTAATTTTAATTTTTTTTGTTTTTTCCACTCGATTACATTTTTTCAAAGGTTTAAAACATTTTTTAACGCACATATATTATTTATTATTATTATCTACATAAAATAAAATTTTATAGTTTCAGATATAGAAATTTTTTTTCAGAAATATTTTATTTTTCTACTAATCGATACGAGTTTCTATTGATTTCACATTTTTTGAGAAATTTTTTTTAATATTTCCCTTCATTGAACCATTAAATCTTTGGCAATTTATTGTATAATGAACATTTTTAATTGAATAATTGATTTGAGACCTTGAAATACATTTTTGTAAATTTTCTCTCTTTAATATTTTGCATTCACATTTTTTCATTTTTTTTAAAAAGTACGAGAATTTTTTGTTAATAAAAAATATATTTCGAAATTGTTTACATTGGTAAATAAACATTTTGAAATGTGCATCTTAAGTAAATATTCCATTAAAATGTATTTACTCGTGAAGTAGAGTTGAAGACATAAAAAAAAGATTTTTTTTTGTAGATTCGTGCTAAATGGACTGTTATTAAATT